AAGATTTGCTCCATCTCCACTTTTTTCTGTCGCTTTCCAAGCAGTTTCAAAATCCGAACTGCACTCTATGAGACCTGTCCCTGCCTTTTTCTTATGCAATCCTGACATGACATCTAGAGCCTGGTTGATGCGTGCGCACGATAGAGGAAGAGCGAGCTTTTCCTGAGATTCGCCGGACTGCAAACATAAACTTGGGGCAGGTGGGTGGATGTGAGCGCTGAGGTGAGTCTTGGAAGGGCCTGAATGCAAGGACAAGCGGTCTAGGTTAGAGAAAAATGAGGAGCGGGTGTTTTGCAAGCAACCGGTCTCTTCGATGTAGGAGTGGGTGCGGCAGTTGTCTACCCTGTGCAAGAAGTCTGCCTCTGTGGGGTCGGAGCTCGGGGAGTGTGATGCCCTCCCACCCTGCCCCACGCTGTGTTTGTGCTGGTAGTCGGTGCTGATGGCAGGTGAAGTGTGACTGGTTTTCATCCTGGTGTGGTGTTGTCCGGGGAAGGTGCATTCAGGATGCTCCTTCGCTTTCTCATGTCGAAGCTTGTGCAGTTTGGAGAAGAGTCTCCCACCTAAAATGAAATATTTTATGGAGATATTTATATAAAAACTTGACTTGACAAACTTTATAGCTCCACAATTGAAATTATTTTGACATAGTAGCTCAAACATCACAATATAATATAATAACAAAGAGCAAGAATAAAACTGATAATAATAAATTCAAAATATGTAGAAAAATAGCAAGAGACTGGTGTCAAATAAGGCACAACTATATAATTGTATGTACAAGTTTTTAAAAAATTGTTACGATACTGTGGTATTGCAGAAATTTCCTGGAAGGCCTTTTTAAATGATGAAAACTGTTTATAATAGTAATTTCTTGTTGTTGTTTTTTATAGCAGAACAATACATTTAGACCCAAACCTTTCAATTTTAAAGCTGAGTTTCAGATTACATGAGAAAAGTCTACGGGCCTATAATATGAGTAAAAATGTTATTATTTGTATGCAGAACTGAGTTGTCATACAGCTAGTTCATGGGCCTAGTCCAGGGGTCTCCAGTGAGCTACTTTTACAAAACAAAACTGCAAGAGAGCTACTCATTTTAATGGTTGCAAGAGATGATTATATGAAAGAGGGTGAGCCTTTGGGTACAGTTAGATGCCTATAAAACATAAACCACTGTCCATTTATTAGTGCATAAAGTTGAGCTTGAAAGTACAATGGTAATAGGCATGTAATTAATAAAATTTTTGTTATTCAGCACAATGGAATACTTCAGAAATTCATTGGCGAGCTACTTGAAAAGTGGTGGAGAGCTACTGGGAGCTCCCGAGTTACAGGTTGGAGACCCCTAGCCACTAGTAGAAATGATAAGATACAACATTTGTGAAGTTTCCTTTTTGATATTTCTCATAAAAATGTCAATCAGTAGCCATCACAGAGTCTTACGGTCAGCTGTGTCAACCCTTAATTATAGCCTATATAGCATTAATGTGGGAGTAATTAATTATAATAGGTATATGTTTAGAATACTCACCTTTGACATGCTCCAGATGCAGGTACACAGCGTCCTCACTAACATAGTACCTCAACAGCTTCACCATGTACGGGACACCCTGAGGAATGATGGTCGGCTGATCTCTGCTTTCCCAGCTTGACTTCACTAAACTCTGTTATCAATCAAATGTAAAGTTAAAAATCAATATATGTTTACCCCAACTGTCTATAATATCTATTTTCTGATTTCATAATGCTGTTTCCTTTTCCTTGTGATGAAATGTGGTTATACATGAGGCACTCCACTGTGTTTTTAAACTCCACACACCTTCACTAGAATCGTTTGGATAATTTCTGCCCTGAAATTTCCAATCTCTACTGAACTAAAGGTAAAAGGTGTGTGTTCATTTCAAAACTCCTATTTCAAGAGATCACAAGGTTGAAGATTGAGTATTTTGAGTTTTGGAGATGTCGATAGACTAATAATAAAGGATTACTCAACTGTGTGAATGAAACAAAACAGAACTCTGGCTATGTTTTTAATGACATGAGCTTTAAGATGTGTTAGACAGAGTCATTTTTGCATAATATTTGTTAATAAGACCAGAAATTCTTCGCCAACCATCTACTCACCTTTACTACAAATGTCTCCTTATTCACCATACTTTGCACGACCAGAACCTTTTGACAAGAAAGATAACGCATTTTAATATAAGCAGAGCTAATTCTAAGGAAAGAACATTAGTGTAAATTTTGTACCTTATCCGACACTCCCACTACTTTGCACATCTCTAGATCCTCCACAGGCGAGCTCAAGTGCCTGATTGGGCGGAACCTCAGACTGCTGTAGCCCTGCATGAGAAATTATAAGAAAAAATAAATTTAAAAATGTATTTCCTATTTAAATTTTCATTCACCGTTTTATTCATTGACTTTCCTTACCCCCAAATGTGCACTTCCCTTTCCGAGGTTGTCTTGCAGATGTGTTATGAAGATTTCCTCAGCTCTTTTCAAGTATTGCGTTGTCTTTCGCTTCACAGCCTCCCGGCGTTCTTTGTTTGGATCCACTATAAGACAGCAAAGTCCAGTAATTACAAAGATAATGCAGCCCCCTCTGCTTTGTACTTCTTTATCTCGTTCAAACAGTTCACTTTTGGAAAATCTTTTTATTTGATTGGACAGACTAGCCATGATAAAGGTGTTGACTCAGCAGGAAAAAAATGTGTGTAACCTTTGGTTCCTCACTTCCTTATTTTGTTTTATTTTGGTACGCGTGTCACAGTCACATGTCTTGAGTGTGCTTCTTGAACACCTCCCATTTCTGAGTCACACACTCAGAAAATTAAAAAGAAATAAAAAAAGAAAAATCAATATGTAGCTAATTTTTTTGTGTGACTATTACATTTAGTCAGTTTTATTTTTCAGGAATTCTTTTGCGCTAGTGTGATGATAAAATCATCATCCTATCCTCACAAAGCACATGTTCTTCACTTACACTGGACCCCATTCAGGAGTAGATCCACTCCGTTCTTATAGTAACTGAAAGCTGCCTCGTAGTCCTCGTTCACCTCGCTGTCCAGGGCCATGTGGATCTGCTTGGCCGCCTCCACCAGATAATCCCTCTTTGCCATTGCTGCTTCTGTTTGGACCGGACCAGGTCCACCTAGACCTGAACACAGCACAAACAACAAGACACATCTGGACACACAATAGAAACATGTATGCATTTAAGTAAGAGTTTATGATAAAGAGATAAGTAATCATTACCTTTGAGTGCTGTTTGTATCAACAACACGGCTCATTTCTTTTTGTTGATTCTGGGGTCAGTGAATGTCTGCACTTGACCAAAAGGCTCACCTGAGAGTGGCAAAGCATCTTCACCTGATGAGCAAAGAGATAAACTGACTGATGCAGACGTGTACTATGTTGCTTTGGTTTCAGTTTTGATTGAACAAGGAAGCAGACCTTTGGTGACTGATTAACCGGTTTTCTTTTATTGTGTAACAATCATTACAAATGTTGCCTAAAAATTTGTACTACAATAGCACAGCAGCCTGTCCATATGCCTCCATCAATATGTATTTGTTCTTAAATAAAGGCTTTTGAACATATTTGCTGCTCACATTTTGCAGTTCTGCCCCTGCCTCTCAAACTGCCTTTTCTTTGAATTTGCATGTTTCTCTTCTATCTGCCACTCACCATAATAAGACACAAACAGCACACACACTGCTGGAACCAGCCATGGTGGCGACATCCTTAAGGAGTGTTATGAAACACAGTGACTCTTCTGGTGTCCTCCCTCACTATCCCTCTCCCTTTTTTGTGGTACATGCTAGCTAAGCATTCAACAGAAACATGCTTAGCTGATAGATATGAAGTGATAGAGATGGACAGATAGAGTACCTTATGTGAGGCCATGTCCTCCGCCCAGCAGCAGCAGCATCAGCAACACACACACTCACCCTCATCCCAGGCACAGGAAGAGGTGGAGTCTGCCCCGTCCAGGCCTCCCATTGGCTGAGCCTGATGTCACTCCAGGGTACCATTTCTTTCAGCCACCACTTCCCCCTCTCTCATCCCTGATCCAAACAGATGCTGCCTCACTTAAAGGGACAGTGCTATTTTTCTGTATAGGCTTTGAAGACTCATTGTCATTCCTAGAGTAGAGAAATGCTCACTGCATTCACATGATAATACTGTCTGTGTGATTGCTGTCTGCTTTGATGATTGAGTAAAATATGTGCGTAAATTTACTAGGTTCTGCAGCCCAGTACCAGACAGAGCCAGCTCCAACATCAGCACAAAGAGAACTGCCTACCCCGGAGGAAGGCCAGATGACTGGAGTAAGCAGGAAGTGAGGAGGGGCTGAAGTGGGCAAGAGTCAGTATACCACAAAAAAACATTGGGGGATGGCTCTATGTTGCTGTTCTTTTTTTTTTTTTTTCCCACAAGATTAAAAACAGATATATAACAATACATAACAACAACTAAAAGTCATTTAAATTAAACTATTAAAATTATAAATTAGGTTTACAGTTGTACAAATTAGATGTACTTCTGTTTTAATGTTAACTTACTGATAAGTTGCATATTTTTATTTTTATTGTTTACCTTGAACATTTCAGCAAAAAAAAAAAAAAAGCTATGAGCTAAAAAAAACAAATATAGTTAGTAGTTTTGACACTGAGCCAGATCACATTTATTTATTTACGTGTTTATTTATTTATTTATTTCAGTAACATACTGTATTTAAAGGATTTTTATATGTTTTACTGCATTCTTTGGCTTTTAAAAAATATAATAAGAACCTGAAATCTTTGCTACATTTGTGCAATCTTCACATTTGAATGGCTGCATTTAAAAAAAAAAAGTCAAGATGAGATGCTTCAGTTTGATTTTATTCTGGGAAATGTGGAAGTGTTCATGTTACACAGCATGCAGTGTCATGAACTGAAGAGATCAGTTGCATCAATCAAAAACACAACAAATCATAAGTATAGAAGTTATAATTCAGTTAAACTTGACATTGTAGGACACATAGTAGCCGTTGTTGTACATGTAGAGCTTCTGATCAGTGGGGTTGTAGTCCAGGTAGCTGTACTTCTCCTGGAACTTCTGAAAGGGGATGCTGAGGTGTTTCTCCTCTCCAGTTCTCGTGTCCAGAGAGTAGAAAATCTCCTCTGTGGTCAGATCTACTGACCTCGTGGCATACATTACTCCACAGGCCATGAAGGCATTACCAGCCAACTGTTTGTAGACATCTGTTGACCACTTATTCACAACGCCAAAGGCCTTCTCGTCTATCTTAGCCACAATGAGCTTCCCCCTACTTTCGTCTGAAGCATAAATTACCCACAACCCATTTTCATCACCTGCAAAGTCTAGGTGTTGGTTTGAGGAGTAACTGTAAGAAAAACTGCTGCTCGCCTCAGAAATAACTCGGTAGTCATATTTGGTACCGGTTATATTGAGTTTGGACATTTCGTTTGTGTTTCGCTGGTAATATATACTGTGATCACGAACTGCAAAATTGCTACCAAGGCCTCTCCATCCATTTGGCAGGTGATTCTGTTGAAATGCTGCTCTAAGAATCAGTTGATCATAGTTGCTGTACAGGAAGAAGTCATAGATATATGTGGTGCTGTATGCCCCATACACATACATGGACTCATAACCCCGCAGTGGCTTGGAGTCTTTGGCCCAACCTCCATACACATAGCTACTAGCTAACTGAGCGTTCAGTTGGATGACATGGGGCTTGCTCAAGCTCATGATTCCTGTGCCATTGCAGTTGCCTGAATGAGATTTTGAAATATATTCTGTTACATCTCATACATTTTTTATAGTGACAGATTTTTTTTTTTCCCCCTTACCAGCAACTGGCTTGAAGTTCTGATCCTGTTGACAATCCTCCAACTTCTTCTGCAGCTTGGCAAACTCAATGCGGATCACCTCCAGGTTGCTCTTGTCATAGATCTCCAGTTGGTTCACAATCATAGTCATGTTATGGATCTAAAAAAAAGTTAAATAATTGTTCATTACTCTCACGCCTTTCCTATGACTATATTATACCAAGTGAAAGTATTTGCTGTCACCTCTGTGTACAAACTGTCAAAGAGCGGTGATGAGATATTCAGGGACTCCTTAAGCTGGGTCACGAGAGCTTCAAACTCTCTGAGCTCAATCCGGAGGAGCTCAAAGTCAAGTTTGATGTATTTGTCTGAACTGCTCTCTAGCATGTTTACTCTGTAAGTCAACTGTGACAGGTCCTTCAAGTACACCTCTAGCTTGGCCTCATAGGACACCAGCTAAAGACATATTACACCAATTTAGTAATGAACAAATTATGACATTTTAAATTTCTTTGTTGTCAGAATCTTACCGTGTTCATTTGTATATTCACTTCAATGTTCAGGTCTTTGCTGATTTCTTGCATGTGCTCCACGCGATCTGCTGGAAATGTGGTGTCCGGTAGAAAGACATGACAGACGCACTGACCAGAATCACCCTCAGATGCAGTCACATTGCCAGATTCCCAGTCACCAATGGGCTGAAAAGGTACATTTTCTTAAGTACATTCATTAATAAAGCTTACTGTAAAATATAATTGGAGATACTTACAATCCAGGCCAAAGCAGGGCTGACCAGTAGCAGCAGCAGAACAGAAAACATCTTGACTCACTGGTCTACTGTTAAACTGTTCAACTGTTCTCAGCTTTGGGTTTTTAAAGACATCTCTTATCAGACAGATCTCATGCAGGCTTTGTCTTCTCATAGAGAACATGACCTTTACTGTGTTTGCGTTTGTTTATAGAATCCTTATTGAATCCTGGTTTGACCTGAAATAGGGGTGAGCATGAGAAAGGTTTCACCTGGGCTAATAAGATGCAATCTGTCTCTGCTGTCAAGTAACGGATCAGAAACAGGATGTTTACGAGCGATAAAACAAAAAGACGATATAATAAATGAAATACTGTTCACATATATTAAAAGACTTTCAAATGAAAAAGAAAAAGTTAAGTGAATTAATTTTAAAACTCATGTAGTGTAAAATGAAGGTTTCTGCATGTACTTTAATAACTATATAGCCAATGAGAGGTATATCAAGTATTTCATATTTCCATGTACTATATCTTGTGAGGTACAAGACTGTGTTGTAAACTATATTATTTGGAATATATTGCGTATAATTTTATGCTGAATTCATTAAAGAGCTTCACCAGTATGCACTGATGAGGTTGCAAACTCAAAATTCATAGATTCTCATTCTGGCTGATTACTCTGCAAATAATGAATGGATATCACGCCTGTTAAGGCAGAGAGAGTGCGTGATGTTGGCAAATTCTAAATGTGTCCAGGATTGGGCTTGGTTTCAGTTAATAGTTAACTCCATTACATTCCAGTTGATGTATTTAATGTCATGATAATTATGTCTCTATTTCATTAGAGAAAATGAAATAGGTCCAGTTGAACAGTAACACCCTTATTGTTATATCATTATATTAATTCGTTCTAAAAAAACAGAATGAGTGTGAGTTTACCACAGGGAAACACTGTCTGACCCTTAATATGCATATAGATTTGTTATAACATTTATATCTTGTATATATTAAAGTTTTGAATAAAAATATCTGTTCATAAAATCATGTGTTACCCTAGTCCTTATTATGGCTGCTGCTCATCAGCAATAATCAGCAGCTTCACATTACTTTATGAATTAAAAAAAACAAAACAAAAAAACATTCTCTCTGTAATAATTCTGGTTATAAATTACCTACATCAGGGGTGTCAAACATATGGCCCGGGAGCCAGATTCGGCCATCCAAGACCTTTAATCTGGCCCTTGGCTGATTTTCTACTAAAATATTTTAATTATATTTTCTATAAAAATATTGATAATTTTCTGCGTTGCTTAACATAGCAGCATCTCCAGCGCCTCTGTGCGTGGCCCCTCCCACCAGAGCAGCACAAATGAAGACTTGCCTTTGGTTTGACTGTTGACCATGACACCCTCATCAGCAAAATGTAAAAAATTAGAAAAGTGCCAATGCCGAGTGCAGGAATTTCCAAGAAAAACTGAATTATTCCTATTCCTAACCCTACAAATTAATGTTAAAACATTGTGATGAAATTGCATTTTTCTTAAAGTTTCAGGTTGTTCATTATATTATTAATATTTTGTAAAAGAAAGAGTTCATCAATTAAAAAAAGATTTCTGTAATAGATTTGCATTTCTCTGCACAAATATTTGAACTTATTGCTGTTTTTGGGGTATATATATATATATATATATATATATACATATATATATATATATATATATAGGTCCCCTGGACCTAAATAATGAATGATGAGTTAACAAAAACACACAGCAGAAAGGCATGATGCTGAAGTTGATTTATTAATTATTGGTTACAAACAAACAACAAAAAATCATTTTTGATTACAATAAAGACTCATTTAAAACATCATCACATGACATTCCCAGTGATATTCAGGGAATCCTGTGTGGATGGGGACTGCACAGCCGGAGCTGTTTGGTTGAACCAGAGATGGTAGCTGACGTAGTAGCCATCGTTGTACATGTAGAGCTTCTGGTCAGTGGGGTTGTAGTCCAGGTTGGAGTACTTATCCTGGAACCTCTCAAAGGGAATATTGACATGATACTCCTGCTTGGTTTTGGTGTCGTACATGTAGAAAATATGCTCATTGTGAATATCGACTGTTTTTACTGCGTACAGCACACCACACACCATAAAGGCGTTGCTCACTCCTGGTTTGTACACACTAGTGGGCCATTCCTCTTCTATCCCAAAAGAAGCTTCATTGATTCTAGCTATGACCATTCTCCCTTTTGTTTCATCTTTAGCATAAGTCACGTACAGACCAGTTTCATCTGCTGAGAAGTCAAAATTCTGATTTGGAGAGTTGCTGTAGGAGTAAGTCGAGCTAGCACCAGCGATGACTCTAGAGTAATATGTGACTGAGGTCAAATTAAGCTTAGCTAACCCAAAAGGTGAGTTGATTTGATAGTACAGGCAGTTTTCTCTTACTATAAAGTTATTCCCAGTGCCTGCCCAACCATTGGCTAAGGTTTGATGCAAGAAGTGGTTCCTAAGAATGAGGTTTTTGTAGTTGGTATAGAATCTAATATCATAGATGTATGTTGAAGTGTAGCCAGAATACCAGTACATAGACTCCCGATCTGGGATTGGTTTGGAGTCTTTGCCCCAGCCTCCATATTTATACCCAGCGCTAAGATGAGCATTGATCTGGCTGACAATGGGTTGGCCGACTTTGACAATGCCAGAATGTGCGCAAGAACCTGCAAGAGAAACAGCTTCGTTAAGAATGAGGTAAAACCAACTTGAACATTTTATTAGGAGATAAAGCTTACCAATGTTGGGATTAAAGAGATCGTCATAGCGTTTTTCACACTCCTCAAGCTTTAGCTGGATCTCAATATATTCACGTCTTGTTGCCAGCACCAAGTTCTTGTCGTAGGTTTTCTCTAGTTTGTCAAGAGTGGTCACCATGGCTGTTATCTGCAATTAAATATTGAAATGACCTTCAATTTGAAAATGTGATATGACAGTTGACTGTAAACTTACTTGTACTTGTAGAGACTCAAAGACAGTGGTTGAACTTTTGATGGAAAGCTGAAGTTCTTGAATCAAAGCCTCCACTTGCTTAATCTCCACCTTGATCCCCTCCAGGTCTGCGTCATTGTAGTCGTCTGGGTTCTTCTCCATATTTTCCACTTGAACTGTCAGTTGTGCAATTTTCTCTGCATAAGATGTCATTTTCACTGTGTACGCCTCCATCTAAAACATTGTCAAACATTAAAATACACACTAAACAGTGCTTGTTTAGAGTAGGGCTGCAAGAAATATCACAATCAAATCAAACTCGCAATTTGAATGGTTGCAATTAGCAAACCTGTAAACTTTGTCATTTATACCTCTTTTGATTTCAGTTTCAGTTCTAGTTTTAGTATCAGATTACTTTTGATAACCCTACTTTGAACAGGACCTAACTACTAAAAAATAAATCGCAATAAGATATTTTGCCAAAACCCTTCATGCTTAGTTTACAGTATGTTTATATACCTTTGCTATCTCCAGCTCCACTCTATGGGAGATCTCCACCGCAGTTTCTTCCACCACAATCAGGTCTTTGATGGGGAAAGTAGTGCTCGGGAGGAAGGCATCACAGGTACAACTATCGCCACCTCCAGTGCCATTCCTGGTATCTATCGCGCTCCAAACATCTGCACCCTAAGAAGGCATGACATAAAAGAGGTCAACTACAAAGAAAAGAAAGAAAAAAAGGTAATTTGATGGATCCAAGAGATGCCATACAAACCCCCCAGGCCAGAGTGGAGCCGAGCAGGGCCAGGAAGTACAGAATGCCAATCATTCTGCTGCGGTCTGAGATGAATGAAGTAACTATGACAGCAGTAGGGATTTATATAGAGAACTGGTAAAGCTACACCTACTTCCACCTGGTATTGTTCTCAGGACAATTCAAATAGGGTCTTAAAAAGTGTACATATTGGCAGCAAACAATTGTTAAATTCCAGCACTTGAGAGAAATGAGACAGCTTGGCATCTGTTTTAGTTCGCGTGTCATTTATTATATGATCATCCGGCATATAAATAATATTAATGTCAGGGTTTATGGAGCTGGTCAGGCTTACTCAGCAGTGGGTGTTCTGTATGTGCATAGTTGCAACCTCTACTAGACTTTCCCACTGGCTGTTATATATTTTTTTAATTTTGGTTATTATTTTGTATATAGACTAACCATCTTATATAGGTAGATAGATGTTTTCGTTTTTTTAAGATGAATTATGTGAAATCAGCTTGCTTGCTTGTTTTAGTAAGCTTATATTGTCCTGCATTTGAGACTTGAGTGGCCAGAAAATATCTGTTTTCATCTACCCCCCATCTCCTCTAACTAATTTGATTGATTAAACATCCATAAACTGTTTGATTTGTGGTTAATATGATTGTAATATAGGCTTATGTGGTTTTCTTCCTGTGGCTATATTAGAATAAACCACAACACTCAATCCAACCAGAGTGTATGGAATGGAGATGATGAAGGTGGTGATGAAGAGTGCTCACTCACAGATTATAGGACTTAACTTTAACTTTTCAAAACCCAGTCCAAATTAAGAAAACAATTCTTTTTATATCAACAAAAATTGATTTATTTATTGCTTGTGTGTTGTGTAGTGTGTTATGTATGGTCTTTTACATTATAGTTCCATCTAGAACAGGGGTGTCAGATTCAAATTCACAGAGGGACGAAATTAAAAACCTGGCCGAAATTAAAAAGTCATGGGCCAAACTGAATATTTATTTTAAAATTTCAACAACATCTGCATGTTTTCTCTTCTTTCAAGATATGTAATGTTTTCCTATTAAAATAAATGTTTAATAATAGTTTTGCTTGAACATTGAATCCAGAACAAGTACAATATAACATAATAACAAAATTTTAAATAAATAATGTCTCTATGGTCTATGTGTAGCCAGCGGGCCAGCTCTAATACATATTTGATATGATCTTGCAGGCCAAATATAATTATATATATATATATATATATATATATATATATATATATATATATATATATATATATATATATATATATATATATATATATATATATATATAAAATAAATAAATAAATAATTTTGTATATATATATATATATATATATATATATATATATATATAATTATATTTGGCCTGCAAGATCATATCAAATATGTATGTAATTATTTCGATTATATCGAAATTTGGCCCCCGGGCCTGAGATTGGTATGTCTGATCTAGAATATACCCAGCATTGCATCAGGATGGATCACAATTACGGTACTTTTCTCACCAATGAAAAACATACCATCATAAATTACAAATACATTTTACTTTAAGAATACCAAATATTTAAATGTAATACTGTGCTATGGCGTTGTAGGAGTTGTAATTAAACTGACCCATGTTGCCCTGTAGTTACTTTGTCAGCTGTGTTGGCTTCTTAGTGTCTTTATCCACACGCTTCTTGACTTTCTTCTTCTTGCCTTTCTTCTTAGGTTTACCCTCCAGAGGTTTGGGGTTCAGAGCCGGTCTGGACCTGGTGAGGGTGGAGTGCCGGCTCATCTCGGGGTCCGAGTGAGCGCCTTGAGCAGAGATGGACTTCCCCCTGGACATGAGCGGAGACTCGTCCAGCAGGTTGGGCTGGGAGTAGGACCTCATGGCGGGTGAACTGGTGGGCCTATAGTGGGTGCTGCTCCCTAGCATGGGCAGGTGTACGTGGTCGTTGCTGAGGTAACGACTGCTGTGGGACATGACAATGTGGTGCCAGGAGCTGAGGGGGGTGGCGGAGAAGGGCTGGGGGCCGCTGGGGTCCTCTTTGCCCGTGCCTGGGGACATGACCATAGAGCCGTGTGGGGTGACTGCCTCCACCGCTGTCTGGAAAGTCTTCAGGATACGGTCGCTCTTCTGCTTTTCCTTCTTCTGCCTGGATTCAACCTTCTTCAGGTGGCGTCGGTGGTCCCTCATCATTTGTTTTCTAGTGTCGGCCAGACCCCTGCAAAAGTAAAAGATGAGTGGATGAGAGGTTATACTGTTGCAGCCCAATAAATAGCCATACTTAAAGTGCTGATGATTCTCTAATTTTGATTTAATTTGGTGCGATAATACCTGTTGTAAATATAAATCAAAGTTTTACACAAATCAAGAAGCAATTAAAGAAGAACAGCTGAAAACTAGGTTGAATATTACAGGTAGAGTACAAGTACTACAAGTAGAGAGTTCTATTTTGACAGCGTTACACTTTCTGTCCAAAAGGTACAAATTACACTAAAGAAACACATTTTTCAGATACTTTTAACATTATTAACATAACATTATCAAAAAAATAAAGGTGTTTTCTTAATAAACTCCTCTATGTACACAGATATTTAGACCACTGTATAACATAGTTGCTAGGTAACAGTTTTACCATTGCCTAGTGTAATATCATGATTTCCAACCAAGGAGTATAATTTTAAACCGAAAAAATGGGCAAAGTGGGAAAATAATTATAATTTTTTTTAGCTATATCTTAAATATAATGATCTTAGTGTTGTGTATAAGTAAAATGAGTAGCCCAGCCTCTCATAGGCACTGTAATTCTGTTTAGTTGCATTGATTCGATCTCCATAGCAATAAATATTTGGCTCAGTAATAATATTTTAAAGTAAAGTGGGCTGTATGTTCCTTGGCCATATGCATGTCTTGAGCAAAAATTAAACAAATGCTTAAAATATGCTTTAAGCCTCCCTGGAGAATATTATAAACAGTTTGAGAAAGAGTTGACCCCACTTTTGTATAAGGTTTATAACTACACATTAACAAAAGGTGATCCTCCTCAGTCGTGGTCTGAAGCGATCATTAGTGTCATCCATAAGGATGGTAAAGACCCGACTCTATGCATGTCTTATCGCCCTATCAGCCTGCTCTGTGTTGATTTGAAAATACTTACAGCCATCATCGCAAACAGAATAAAAAAATTCATGAGACAATTGGTGAAACCTGATCAAACAGGTTTTATTACACAGAGACATGGAACTGATAATGTTAGAAGGGCACTAAATCTCCAAATAGTGGCACAAAAAAGGAACACCCCATCTATGTTTCTCAGCCTCGATGCTGAGAAGGCATTTGATCGAGTGGACTGGGCCTTTCTACAACAGACTCTCAAACATATGGGCTTTAATGACACTTTTATTACTTGGATACAAACCTTTTATAGAAACCCCAGATCTCGGGTGAGGGTCAACGGCCACTGTTCGGATTTCTTCTCTCTGGGGCGTGGCACTAGACAGGGCGAGGTCTTGTCACCTTCGCTATTTGCACTTAGTATTGAACCTTTAGCCGAAATAATTAGATCCAACCCTCTCATACATGGAATTAGAGATGAAAGTGATGTTCAACACAAGCTGTCACTTTTTGCTGATGATATTTTAATATTTTTGGAGAATCCCGTCAATTCTGTTCCAGCTTTGCTCCACAGTCTCCATGAGTATAGTATGGTGTCAGGTTATAAAATAAATACAAATAAATCAGAGGCACTGATGATTGTTGGGGAATGGCCTTCACAGTTGGATCACCTTGTTGTATTTAAACAGTCCAAGCAGGGGTTTCGATATCTGGGTGTAAATCTTGCCCCCAAGACGACTCAACTGTTTGCTTCTAATTATGGGAAGTTATTTAAAGAAATTAAAGAGGATTTAAATAGGTGGAATGTACTACCACTTTCCCTTCTGGGAAGAATTGAATGTATAAGAATGAATGTTCTTCCAAGACTTTTATTTCTCTTTCAGAACCTGCCTGTTTTGGTTCCACAGTCTTCTTTTAAATTGATGGAAAAAATTATATCCAAATTCATTTGGCAGAATAGAAGGCCAAGAGTACGACTCAAAATTCTGATGTCGGGTAAGGTAAAAGGAGGGCTTGGATTGCCTAATTTGAAATTTTATTACTGGGCAGCCCAATTAAAAGCTATGGTGGCCTGGATTATTCATGATCCAGAAATGCATTGGGTGTCTATGGAGGAATATTCATTACCAGGTGTTTCCCTCTCAAGTCTACCATTTCTTAGTCCACAATCACGAAAAAAAAAAATTAAGATAACAAATTTGTGGGTCAATCATACTCTGAATGTTTGGAATCAGGTACAAAAACTATTAAAGGGAGCTGTGGTCTTGTCTCGAGCTGTCCCAATAAATGGAAATGTTGAGTTCTTGCCATCTCTTTCAGATAGGAGCTTTGAGCGCTGGGCGGGGAGAGGCTTGATCACAGTCAGTCAGTTATTTGAAGTAAATGTATTTAAGACTTTCTCCCAATTGAGGGCCAAGTACAACTTACCTCCCAGTGACCATTACAGGTACTTGCAGTTAAGAAATTATATTATGAAACATAAGGACTGGGATTATATCAGAAGAGACCCAACAAATATTGAGAAATATTTTTGTGATCTACTTGAAAACTCTGGTGTATTGGAAAAGCAAGTGAGCAAGATTTACCAAAAATTGTTAATAGACATGTCTGATAATACAAATCATATAAAACAACAATGGGAAATGGAAATGAATGTGACTTTGGATGACGATACCTGGGAGGGTGTTTGTTCTGGTTGTCATAAAGGGGTGGGAAGTCAGATTTGGAAGGAGTTTGACTGGAAGGTCAAATTAAGATTTTTTTAGAACCCCGCTCAAAACTTTTATTTCAAAATGTAGTGTTAGTGATAAATGTTGGAGGAGGTGTGGACTTGTGGGCGACCAGACTCACATATTTTGGGACTGCCCCAATATAAAAGGTTTTTGGATTAATGTTAAAGATGTTCTACAAAATATATTGGCTGT